TCTATCTATCTATCTATCTATCTATCTATCTATCTATCTGTCTGTCTGTCTGTCTATCTACCAACCACTGCCGGCCTCCAACAAGCATAGAATTGGGGAGGCCAGCAGGAAGTCACAATTAATTACTTTTACACACACACACACACACACACACACACACACACAGGATCAATGACATTTTCTTATTCTATTTATAACTGGGCTGCAATGTCAAAACACTAGTGATTTAACTGGTTGAATGTTCTCCCCCACCCCAAAAGTAAAACCCTGCATATACAATGAAAGCATAGCAGAAGAAAAGTTCTACCATTGTCCAGATATAGATTTTTCTATTAAAGTCAATGGTCTAGTACTGATTGCAAAAAACAACTGCTTAGACCTAAAAATCTATGTCTATAGCTTCTGCAGGAGATTTTAGCCTTAGTATCAAGTCAGCTATGCTCTTTTCCAACTCAGTTCTAAATCTGGGACAACCTTCACAGACTCTGATGTGGCATGTCATTTTAAACAAAACCAGAGGCAAAAAGTCCTTTGTACTGACTTTGGTGACTATTCAGATACAGTCATATATCTTCCTGGCAAAAAAAAATGAATTGTTTGCAACTGCCTTCTTCCAGGATTTTTTTTCCTTCCCAGTCTTAGCTTACAGCTTTGAGATCTCCTGGCACTCTCCCATCCAAATATTAATCTTACTAAACTTTTCAAGTTCAATGTTGGCTTAGCGACATTTTAAAACAAAATAAAATAAAGAAGTCTTTTAGGCATTACCAAGTCTTTGGGTGTAACTGAAGAACTTCTTTGAATCCCAGATCAATATATTTATTTTCACTGTGCAATGTTTTTTTACACCATGAATGCAGCTTAAATTATTATTTCTTTGGTCAAACTCCAAACAAACATGATTCAAATTTAAAGAGTTTCAGAAGCTTTGGGTTTATGAAAATTAAGATAGAAAGCGCTCCCTTTGATGAAAAATACCTTAAATATGTCTTTTGAGCACTGTGTGAGGATTGTGTTGTATGTAGAAGATAGTCCTAGTTCCACTAAGCTCTCTAAATGAGTCATCTTTTCTGTTTCGGTCTCCTCTCTTGTTTGCTCCAATGTGCTGCTTTCTATGAGTCCAAAACATCTATACAGAAAAACAACGGTCAAGTAACATAATTAATAAAACAAGAAACCACTACAATTTTTGTTGTTGTTTGTATGGGCTGAAGTAGAATATTATTTTTAATAGTATGCTATAAAATCTGCATATGTTCCCTCAATCATTTCTGGTAACAAACTCCAGAAGACCAGAAATAAATTCTTCTTTTTTCTTTACCAACTCATAAGCATAGGGACTTGCAGTCTAATAAAAAAGTTTGTGAGCTATTTCTTTAACATTTATTATCTTTAGTATCTTTTTTTAATTTCATAGATTGACAATTAGTGTTTCAAGTGATTTTCAACCCACCTACCCCAAAAGAATTCAAGAAAGCAAAACAAATTAGTCAAACTATAAAACTGTAAAATGAGAGGAGATAAATTACTGCACTCTTTAGACGTTTAAGTATCTTAAGTGGCTTTTTATATCATAAAGGTGAGAGAGAGGAAAATTAATTGTATTTGGCCATTACAAAAAAAAAGCAGACACATGACTATACCTAGATGCCCTATTCAAAAATTCTGTTGCCTATAAACTTTGTTGAAAAAGTATCAGTTAAACTACTTAACCAGCTTTGTCAATATTTGACTCTTAAATTTTTCCCCTCAGAATAGCTTTCAAACTAGAAATGTAGATTAGTATGAAACACAAAACTGCAGTGTGCAAACCATGACAAAGGGCTGTCACATAACCAGCATGCTCTGCTTCCCATTACTACTTGCCTGTCCATAAACTGCAGTACAAAATCTTCAAATTCAGCAGTAGCAGAGCACAGTTCTCTCTCCACCTACAGTTTCAAAATACAAGAAAAGTTTTTTTCTACTGCATGTAAATCATGATGTAATTTCCAAATTTTATTTAGTTCTTTACACAATTCTCGCATAATTCAAAACATAAAATCTCAGTTTCTGTAAATATTCAAAATACCAACGTCAAAATCAAGGGAACATAAATAAAAACAAAACAAATTTTGTTAGTAAATTTAGACCAATAGTTTGTTTATTTTTAAACTGAAAACCTTAATTTTATAGTTACAAAGTACAAGCAGCAAAATATATGTTTTGATATTATTTTACATTCTATATAGCCTTATCTGTACTTGAACATTTTCACAAGCAGTTTAATTTAGGAAATAACTTTTAAAATTGATACCTCTGTGAGATCATTCCTCTCTTGTAGTACTGATGAACAATCCACTAAAGGCACGAGAGTAGAAAATGTTGCAATGAACTGGAATGTGATCTAATAAAGTATGCAAACAAGTTTCAGTGTAGTAAGTATATACTTTAATATAAAAAAGAATGTAAATCACTTCAAATATCTGAAACATTGTATGACAAAACTCTATGGAGAAGGTGATATTCCCACATCTCAGGTACCCAGATTACACCTGGTGCAAAATTAAACTGTGTTTAGGTTCTTCTATTCATATTTCCATATACACTAAAGCAGAGGTTGTCAGCCTTTTTCGGTGAACAGAATTTTGAAAAAAAATCAATGCGTTCACTACTTGACAGCTGTTGGAAAAAGAGATTCCCATTCATAAAACAGTTGTCATGACAGGCATAGCTTGTTATAAATATACATTTTCCAGAAGGCAAATTGGCAATGTTTTTTTAAGACCTAACAACCACAAATGTAGGGCAAAGGTGATGTCTAAACAATTCTGAACCTATGGTTTTATGTTCCGTTGTTTATTCCTATCTATAGGCAAACTGTGACCTGGGAACTGAATGCAAAACAATAGAGAGCATTTGTATTCTAACTACTAACCATGAATCCATCTTACCAAAGCTTAAATCCAATGAATGGCTCACCAGGCAAAAGACTTCATAGCTAAACATGCTAACACTGAAAAGCAAAACACATTCACAGCATGGGGACGGCTGTGGGGGGCTTCCCTACAATCCCTACGAGTCACTAAAGTCTCACACGAATGCTTGCCATCATCTGCCCTAAATTCCCAGTAAATTCCGTATTCTTGTCACCTAACTATTTTCTTTTATTCTGGCAGCTGGGTGTACATAAAAATGCTAAATTTTGAGCCATGCAACATGTTTAATTATATTGAAATAGGGGGTTTACTGTAAAATAAAAAATATACTTTACTTTGCAGCAGGTCATAGTTTAAAAATGATTTAAAAATGATTTTTAAGATCAGGGATAGTAGAGAATCCTGATGGTGCTAAGGGAAATGTAAATTATGCCGAGGAATCAACTGTGATTTAGCAGAAAGCACATAAACTGGAAAAGACTGCAATTAGCTTATGCCTTATTTGCTCCTCCTGTTGTATGCTCTACCCCTGCAAATGAAAGGAGGAAGAAATAAAGGCAGCCAAATAGATGCTCAAAAAAAAGCAGTAAGGAAAAGGTTAAAATACGAAAGAAAGAAATCCATGGAAAACTGTAGTCATGTCTTAGGTGACATAAGAGATTTAACTGCAACATAACACAATATAACAATGTGAAATTATTATACTCACCATGCATTTGCTAAAATCGTTTGGATCCACACCAGGCAATGCTCTCATCAACAGAGGCAACATATGTGTTGGACCTTCAGGAAATGACTTGCCCCCAGATACCAGGCTACGAGCTACACCAATTACACAACTTAATGTAGCTGTCAGCTGATGAGGTTCTGTTAATGTCTCTAGTGCGGGATATGTTCTGTGGACAAAAACAAACAAAATATTTTATCAGTTCAAATATTTTACTTACAAGTGCTTATAAGTTCACAGCCAGACATGGGCTATGTTCAGGCCACTCCAAACAATTTTTCTAGCTTTTCCAGTTTTGATATTACATTACTCCACTTGCAGAAATTCTAACTAGTACTATGTTTCAATGACCCAACCTTAGGAAATATAAAAAACCAGAATAAGATTGGATTTCAAATACATTTTCTACTAAATATACAATGTAACATTAAGAAACAACAAAAATGAAACTAGATTGTAGGTCTCTTAACGTCTGCTGACTGAAGGGCCATATAACAAGCTTTGTGGGATATGTGGAAGACTCCATTCTAAAAAAAGGAACAGTCAGAGAAGAAATTTCAGGAGTTTTAAAATATAAAAGGGTGTTTTAAGGATTTGCAAAATAAACCCATTTTTTCGTTAAAATGTCAATTTCAAAAAGGACCCAAAATGTTTGACCATATGTATGTTTGAGGAACTCTAGGGAGCAGAGAAGATATGCTGTCAAGGCCACTTTTTTCTACCTCTTAAATGGTATTTGCTCTTGTTTAAGCCAATAAAAATGGAAGAATAATAGTTTCAAAGTGAGGAAATGTATACCTAAACTTTGATCTTGTCAAAAGTTCTGTGTTTTGGTAGCATTTTTAAAAGTAAACTCATAAAATAAGTAATAAAAGATTAGAGTATAAACTAAAACAGACATCTCAAAAAGTAAATACAAAGAGAAACAAACAGTAAATCTAGATTCTCTTGTCATCCTGAGTGTTAAAAATTGCAGCAAAAAGACAATGATTTAAAACAGATAATTCTGAGGTATGTGGACTTCAACTCCCAGAATTCCAGAGCCAATATAGCTGTGACTAAGAATTTTAGAAGCTAAAATCCATACACCTGGAAAATACTGGCTTAGGTTTGGAAAAATACTGACTTAGAATAACATTTCCTAGTCATCTAAAAACTAGATAAACTTTCTCTGGTTTTTAGATAGTACTCACTTTTCAAGTACTGGTGGGATTACCAACTCAGGACGCATTAGTGCAAGATTCTGTAGAGCTTGGGCTGCCTCTAAACTTCCAGTTTTGCTAAACATTGCCAGCAGGACAGGTTGTATAATGCATTCTACAAATTCTGTTATGTCCTGATCAGAAAGCTTATGGCTATCAGGCACAGGAGTCAGCCAGCTCGTCTTCTTATAGCGCTCACGATGCAGTCTTCTGACTATACTACTGGGTAGACGCTGAAGTAGCTTCATTAGCTTATTCTACCAAAGAAAGGCAACAAAATTCATTCCAGTTAATTAGAAGAAAAAGAACCCAAACTGTTTTGATTTCTACATTCTGTGCATTAAACAAAGTAAATCCATTATTCAGTTAAGTCTGTTTTGAAGGTATTTTATGTATTGTGCATAATGAGAGATGGACCAGAACCTTTAGTAAAGAGTTGGGATTTGATGTCAGGGGGGAGGTTGTGGCACAGTAGTATCCGTCTTATAACACTGTAGAACAATAATGTCATTCCATTATTTTCTTGGTGCTATTATAATAGATAGTTATCTACTGGGAGAAACAGATGACTTTCCCATACTTCCTCAATCGTGACACACACCACCCAAAACTCATTCACTAGATAAAATTCCTCTATTGACAGCAGCAGCAAGTCTGAATGGAAGGTAAGCAGGCATTCAGCTCTGCCAACCATATTCCAGCATTCTAATAGAGAAGTCTAATCCAATCTGAGGTAATAGAGGGTGTTGCATAGTTTTGTACCTTTTTCCACCGAAAAACAATGGAATTTAGTGGGAGAGCTCATTAGCATAAACAACAGATGGGCAAACTAGCAGGCAGGCAGTGGGGCTTTTAAATGGGAGCAAAGGCAGAGCTGATGCTTCATTGGATTTTAAAATAGCTTTTATTTTACATACTTCCAACTTCAATGCCTGTATCTTAACATTATGACAAGCAGACTGATATCAAGCATCAAGGCAGTTCTAATCCCTAACTAAAAGCAATAACAACCCATGTACTTGGTCCACAGATGATGTCTCTGAACCTACATGGCATTAGCAGCTGAAACAGTACGACAGCTTTGAGTGGAAGAACTACTCTTGTATCTTGAACTTTCATGAATGATGCATCGCATGAAAAGACTAGCCTTAGTATTTTTTTTCCTGATATGTATATGGATGTATGTATATTCCAAAGCAATTTCTGAAGAAATCAAAAACATTTAACTCATTTAATTTTTTATTTATTCAACTATTTATTTAACAATTTCATTGATTAGCTTATCGTCAACTGTAAAATTCACTTAACTGGACACTGTACAGGTTTTGAAATTTTAAAAAAAACTTTGGATCAGGCATAATGCTATTCGGCTTTTAATATAGTTCACAGCACCAGAAAGAAGCCATAAATTCCCTTCAATTTGCTGTTGGCTATATAGATCTACTATGCTTGGTTCATACATAATTTTTAGCTATAGTTAAAGGAAAGCCTGATTAGTACTGTTCAATATTGCTAATAATTATTCTTCAGGCTCAGTAAACAACTGTATTATATCTTCCCCAACCTTTCACATGGTTAATATTCTTTATAGTCTCATCTAGCTATTATTGCCTATTACACAAATGATAGTAGAAGAATTGAACACTGATTCTGATAACTATAACGTTTTTTATAAATTACATTTCTGGCTTTTCTGATCTTTTCATCTTTGATATTGCTCATATCTTTTTTCCTTCAAGAACCTCTTCAATAGTCACATTTTCTCTGTTATTTTATAAAAAACAGGTGCATATTCTTGTCCTAACTACACCAGCTTCTACTCCTCATCTTTTTTATAGTTTTGTATCCATTTGTAGATCATAATTTCTTCAGAAAAGCAAATAAGTTAACTCTGTTTCCTATAAGCATTATGTATACTGTTAGTATTATGGAGGTGGAAGAGTTGCTGATGTTTTAGAATGTTTTAAAATCATATTTAGCATGGACATTTAATTGAAACTAGTGCCTTTGTCAAAAATGGGTTTGACAAAATTCTATACCAACACAATATTTAAGGTCTTGATGTCAAGATTTAAAGAGAAGATAGACATATACTTACCAACCAGCGACCATTATTTGAGGGATGATAGAAAGATGCAATACTTTGGAATAATCCAGCCAAATGCTTTTGTACAAGCTTGCTTGGTCCACCCTATCCAAAAACAGAGAAAGCACAGCTATTTAATAAAATACAATTCTGAGCAATGGCTCAGTGGTTAGAATGCAGTACTGCAAGCTACTTCTGCTGATCACCGGCTGCCAGCAGTTTGGCAGTTCGGGTCTCACTGGCTCAAGCTTGACTCAGCCCAGATTGTCAGGGAAAATATGCTGACTCTGTAAACCGCTTAGAGAGGGCTGTAAAGCACTGTGAAGCAGTATATAGGTCTAAATGCTATTGCTATTGCTATAGTGCCATTTTAAATTCAGTTTAATGTGCCCATCTTTTTTAGACATCAAAGTAATGGCTTCCATATTCTAACATGTAGCAATATGTGAAGGATGATATTCTACTCCAGAAAGCCAAAGTTATAATGTAAGTTAATTGTAAAATAGATATCAAAAGGTATCATAGCCTCTACAATCTAATATAATGCATGCAATTTTTCTTGTTAATCAGTTCCTAGAAATCAAGAATTATTCTTTTTCATTGACAATATTTAAAATATACTACTTTAGGATCTGTGATAATACACAATTTCTCTAAATGTGTATATTAGATTTACTGTGAAAATATTTCCCTATAATTGAGACAGACATTCTGTGTATGTATCTCTCTCCTACACATTCCAGAAGCATTCTAGAAAGTCTTCTGATATCATTTCCAGGGTAATCTTTTTTTTGTAGTTTATGAAAGTCAAGCCAGTGGAAAGTTCAGAGAAACAAAATTTAAGGAGATATAAATATAAGAAAAGGGTTGAATAATGACATCTTCTCTGATAAGTATCTCTCCTTTTCTTTTTTATTGCTTGGGTAGGCTGGTGGTCTATTCTCATTGCAGAAAAAAGATCTTTACACTAAATGAAATGAACAAATACACCTTTCTTACTGACTGTCTTATTCAGTGACTGTTTAAATTTAAAATGGATCTGAAAAAGTAACTTTAAAACCAATGTCAGAATTTACAACTTTGGCAGTTTCCCTCAGTCACATGATTGCCAGTAGAGGCAGCTCTCACTTAATTGGAACCAGCAATTCTGCCTTAAGCAAAGCTTTGCTAAGTGGGAAATTACATGTCTGCAACTGTGCTTTCTGGCTGGAAACAGACAAAACTACTCAGTTTTACACCTTTTACCTTTGATTATTTGTAAAATTTATTTGTAAAATTTATAGGCCAGCCATCTTACCTCTTGATTGTCCTCCTAACCACTTCTGTGCAATGCTCAAGTGCCTAATTATTGTCTTGTACATATCAAAAGCAATACAATCATGCATGGCAACAGGCTGGGAGACATGGGCACACTATATGAAAGGGTTAGGAAAGTCCTATGTCTCTGATCTCTCCTGGGGAAGGGGGGAGAGAAAAAACAAACAACTTCTGTAGGCAATTTTTCCTTTGCCTGATCCCTTCCCGCTATAGGTATGATTGTATTCCTCCCTATGTGTAGAAGAACAAACTGCTTTCTGTCCTACGATCCCTTTTTCTCCAATCTCTCTGTTCTGCAAAGGTGGTGAGGGAGAAAAAACACAGGTTAGGCAAAAGATAACATGTATTAATTATAATGGTGATCATGTGACCAAGGGATGCTGTGAAAATCATAAATAGGCTGTAAAGTTATGTTTTCAGCATTATCATACCTTTGAACAGTTACTGAACAAATAAGTGAAGACAAATCTGTATTTTTAAATAATATGCATATGCAGATAAGGGGATAAAGGCCATGGTCTTACACTTATTTATCTACAACAGAAAATAACAGCCACATAGCTAAGCAGCTGAAATTTAATTATCCAATAATATTTAACTAACAAAGAGTTAAATGTCAGAGTAATTTATCTGCCCTCCCCATACTAATACAGAATAATTTATCTGCCTTCCACATACTACCAAATTATAGTCAAAATGTGATTAAGGTGTGCTGATCATTTCTTCTAAAGCTCTCTTTTGAATACTGAAGGGACATTCAACATTGAAAACTGAAGGGACAGAGATATTCCATCATTTCTCCTGGAGGTCTTTGTGAACTATCCTGAGGACATATGCTTCCTGTAAAGCAGTTATTGTTATTTTGTGTACAGTAGAAAGATAGTTCCAAATATTGTAATTCAGACTTTTTAAAAATAAATTATCCATCTGAACTCTGGCTTATTTTCATGAATATGATGTTCATTAAAGTAGTAATTAATTTAAAAATCAAATAAATTGACTTATTTACATCTCTACATAACTATACAGCTTCCTCAATGTCCTTAAGAAAAAGAAAAAGATATTACCATCATAGCTGTGATCCACATAACTGCATGCCCTATGTCATAAGCATTTGTTAGGAATCGTGGAACCATCATCTGATTGCTTCCTACTGGAAGATTCAAGCTACGCAGTATTCTAGTAAATATCTGCAGAAAAGGACATTGGAAAATTAAACAAAAAAACTATATTGTGACTATTTCAATTTTGTCATAAAATTAATCACACTACTAAAACCCTCCACATTCAAAATCCAATCTCCAAAATACTCAATTTATAAACCTTTCGATTAAAAGAAAGGCATTGCTGCTGGCACAGAACAAATGGGAAACCCTCCACATTAAATTCATATGATGGAAAACTGAAATTTGTGCTTTAGCAATCTATATTGAGATGTCTCTTTGTTCATGCACAATTGCTATTGCATGGCAGCCACTTTCACATCTTGACAAATTCTTGACAGGCATGAATGCATGCCAAAAACATCTGGAAAGCATCTACATAATTTGCTAAAGAAATTCAATTAGCCGACTACATATTTTCTTCTAAGTGAATCAAGTATTTGTTGCAAAATCAGTTTCTTCTCTGGACACTAAATCTGATGACCCAGCTCTCAATATTTTTGTTCAGAGAAAGAAGAGAAGCTAATCATAGTCCCAATGAGTTTTAAAACTGCAACAAAATGCTGTAATTAAGGGATAAATTAGCTTCAGTTTACAGAAATTAAATTATAAAACATGACAGACGCCATAGCTGCTAAAAAATTATAAAAATAACAGGTTACTGTTTTCCCATTACAATCACATTCCTGCAGCTGGGAATTAATTCTTTAAAAGTTTTATTCTTTATAGCAAGAAACAGGAATCCCAGCAAATATCATGATGGTAGATTAAAATCCAAGGCCCCAGTGTGATAATTTTGTTTACCATACTTTAAAAGGAATAGATTAGTAGAAATAACACTCTTGCTTATATTTTTATAGATAAACAAAAATCCTTAAAATATAGTAAAGCCTTAAACATAGTTAAGAGAAATTTAATAGAGCAAGACATAGAATAAAAAATTCAGCCCTTCTAATAAAAAGTTTAACATTAATCTCAAAAAATTATATATTACAGCTTTCCAAATATGTTGACAAAGATAAATGATTTTAAATGTAAAGTTAGGGTACACAATTTTTATATTCAGAAATAAAATAATGAGAGAAAGAGACAGATAGAGACATATAGAATGAATTAAAACTGCATGTTTTATTGACAAGGAAAGCACTTGCCACATTAATATTTGTAGTATTTTCATATTAAATATTACCTTTGGAATATAGGGATCCCAGTTGATGTATCCTATGTTATCAGCGGCCAAATGTGCAAAAAGGTTGACCAGATGCTAGAGAGAAAAAAGCACAGACCACATTTTCAGGATACAACATCAACACTCAGTGTAGTATTAAGGTTTATTCCTGCTTTTTTCTGTAGTTTTCTTCAAGAAGTAGATCAGATTATTTATCATGCACCATGGGATCATAAAGCAGCTGAGAAGCTGCAAAGCAGTGACCGTAAGAAAATTAATAGCTACAAAAGTTGCAAGGAGAATTTGAACAATGAACAGATGGACAGAAATAACACAAACATTTTACAAGTAAACAGTACAGTAAATCAAGTAAGTATTTTTCATGTTTTTATACAGACTTATAAAAAAGGTGAGTGTCTGAACCAAAGACATCCCCGTAAAATTGGCAAACTGGTTTCCTTCAGAGAAAAAATGGAGCCAAAAAGAACAACCATGGCCCCACATTATCATTCAAATATTGAAAAAGGATAGCAGGTAAGACGTGAGTTAATAAAAAGAAAAAAGGAATAATTATAATATTGAGATGCATAAACAGGATTGAGAAGACCTTTTGGTTTATTAGTAATTAAAATAGTAAACCTGGGACAGAGATAATATATTTAAGATGATAAACAGCCGAACAGAGCTGAATGCATCCCCACACATGGATCCTGTCGAAACTATTCTGGAGAAGAGCTTTTGGTTTATGGGAAATTAAAATAGTAAAACTGGGAGAGATAATATACTTAAGATGATGAACATGTGGCTTTCAAGTGCTTGCTGAATCCTGACTTGAAGCTGTGGGGAGCTACCATTCTGCAAAATCAAGAAAGCCACAGATTTTTCACAAAAACTAGAAAATAAAGAACCGGAAAGTAATAACACTGAATTCTCTTAACAGATTTCTCCCAAACAAATTTGTAATAGACAAATTTCAATTAGGCCTTGTTTAGGATTCTATACTGCACTGCTAAATACCTACTAGCTGTCCCATTATGTCAGACGAAAACCCAGATTCACCAAGGCCAAGGTTTACAAAGACCTAGCCTCATTAACCATTACAAATAGAGAAAGATTACGAAAAAGAGGAATTTCTCTTCCTCCTGTCACCCAGGAGGTGACATATAGGTGGATTCTGGCAGTGATTAATGTTTTTCTGCAATAAAAGGTAGTGACCTAACTTTTCAAGGAGGCTGTGGTTCATCCTCTTCCTAAAAGGCCATCCTATTAGATAATTTTCTTACTATCTCTAATCTTCCCTTTCTGGAGAAGGTGTTGGAGAAGATGATTGCACTGCAGCTCGAGAAGTTCCAGTGTTTTTTTTTCCTGGTTTTTGTAAAAACATTTGCTTCTGGTTTCCAGCAAAAATCACTCACTGAGTAAAAATGAATTCGCTTAAGGATCTTCATGCTTGCTTAACAACTGCCACAAAATTGTAATAAAATTAGATCTGGTCATGTGATGACCTGCTTATTGACTGCAATGACTTATGAATGTAATTCTGGGCAAAATTACAGTCATAAATCAAGAAGTAAATGTTTATTATTTATTATTACAGATTTATTTGTTTATTTATATTACATGTTTCTAATCCATCCATCTCTCTTGAAGACAGGCTCTGGGAAGTTTTCAATATAATCAACATATAAAACCATGTATAAAACTAACATTAAAATATTGAAATTAATTTAAGATTAAAAAAATGTAAATTATAAGATTATGACATTATAAAGGCAAAACTGTCCAAGATGGCCATTATGACCATATTATGGATATAAATCACTGTTGTCATTATAAAAATAATGATAAATAATATTGTACCTGCACAATATCCATGCAGATATAATATATATTGGTGTGATTTGAGACATTTATAAGTTATAGTAATTAGGCTCGGGTTTGGATTTTCAGTCTAAAAGAACTCTAGCATTCAAACAAAAAAGAACTCCTGCACAGCATGACAATTAATAGCCAAAACCTATAATTGTACAACTAATAGAAGATTAAAATTTTAAAATTATGTCAATGTTTCAAGGCACCATTATTTCTAGTCCAATTATCTACATATCTTTGTAGTAAAAAGAAGTGAGGAAAATAGGTTGGGCACATTACTTACCCCTTCCCATTGTGGAAGATTCTGAACTGAAACCCAAAGGCCTAGAAATTCATCAAACCAGAGCCTGAAAGACAATGAAATCCCACCAACACAATTTTAATATGTGAAAACAATTTGTTCCCAATATCTAATAATACCTACTTAGTATATTATAGATTTCAAAAACAATGTGTGTGGGTATAGTCCTATATTTTATGAAAGTGATTTTATAATGCCTAGTGAAGAAAAACGATGTTCAAAATTAACCCATTTAAGGCCACACAGATTACCTACATCTAACAAATCTCCAGCCATACTGCTGATTGTAGAATTTGAGAAAGGAAATAATTATAGTACAAACTTTTAATAGTAACATTATTAAAAAGTATAATTAAAAATAAAAATACAAACTAAAAAAAGAAAAGTGGCCAGTTTTAAGTTTCTCCGTGTTATCATAAAGGAGGACTTGACCTGGGGCACTCACATTGCAGGCTTGCTCAAAAGGACCCAGCAGAGATTATACTACCTGAGACTTCTCAGAAAACAACAACTGAATGAAAAACTGCTGGTGACCTTCTACCACTGCACCATAGAGAGTATTTTAACTTACTGCACCTATGTATGGTTTGCCAACTGCACAGTGGCAAATAGGACAGCACTCCAGAGGGTTAACGTCATTGCCCAGAGCAGGGGTCGCCAACCTTTTGGACCTCAGGGACACCAAACTCATAATTTTAAATCCCATGGACCAGAGACCCTGGGAAAATCCCCCCAAAAGTCTGCAGGAAAATTCCCCACCCCATTTTCCTTCCGATCTATCATTCTTTATCTGGGATTGCAGGATACCATCTCCAGCTCTGTTCTCAGGGGGAGGGAGGGAGGGAGAGAGAGAGAGAGAGACTGACTTTTGCTCCCCCAAACTCCACCAGAAACGAGTCTTTGTGAGACTTGTCGCACTGGCACAGCCTCTTGGAGCAGGATGCCTTGCAGGTTCCCAAAGACTCATTTCTGCTGCAGTTTGGGGGAGAGAAAGGAAGACCTTTGCTGCTTTCCTTGCGTGCTGCCAAAAGCAGGAGAAGAAAGAAATGGAAAGAAGTAGCCCGGTGGCCAGGCAAGGCGTGTGGGGCAAGTCCCCCCACCTCCACCCTTTCCCCCCTCCCCTCACTACTTCATGTTGTGCACAATGCAAGCAACGCGAGCCTTGTGTTCCCGCGGGCCATGTAGGCGGCACAGCCTTGTGTTTCTGCGCAGCCTGGATTAATTGCTTTGGGGATGACATTTCTCTGTGGACCACCAAAATGTTCTCGTGGACCAACAATGGTTCCTGGCCCGCTGGTTGGTGACCACTGGCCCAGAGGATCATTGGTTGCCCACTTCCCTCTTTGAAAGAGCTTTATAGCTCCCTCTGCCTTAAGAAAGTTCAAAACATTCTTAAGATCCATCACATCCTGGGAACCCATTTTTTGAACTATTACCCTCTGGCAGACAGTACAGGATAATAGGCTGAAAAACAGCTTCTATCCCAGAGCAGTAACTATATTGAATTCTACTGTATAGTGCAATATTAATGCAATATCGGGTTTTCAGTTCAATTATATAGAATGAGAAGGATGTGTGTTTGAGTTTTATTTTTATAGTTATAATGCATACTGAAGATGGCATTTAATTTTGTTGGTGCAATGACAATAAAGCAAACTAAAATAGAAAATAAAAGGTACAGAAAAGAAAAACAGAAAAGAAAAAATAGTAAAGAAAATGAAATTTGTAAAGAAATGACTTCACCCTTCATCACAAGCATAAACAAATTTAGTAACATATCACCTTATCTTAAAATAGAACTCTTCTTCCTTTATCCCATCTCTTATCTATAAACAAATCCTTAAAACCTCATTGTTCAATCCTGATCAGCATGTGTCCATTAAGGGTTATAAGATATAATATATCTATTTAATCTTAATCAACTTTATATTTCCTCCTTTGACTTCTAATAATCTTAATCCTTTCAAATAATGTCCTAAGAATTTGATTTTTTTTCATGATTTTTTCAGGAGCCTTGATGGCACAGCCATAGAATGCAGTATTGCAGGCTGACTCTACCCCTAGCCAGGAGCTCAAATGTGACCAGCTCAAGCTCGGCTCAGCCTTCCATCCTTTGACAAGTCGCTTTTGTAAATCCACTATAGAGAAGTTTTATTTATTTACATAAGCAACTCAAAGCAGCAAACTTATCCAACAGACCTTCTCTTCCTGTTTTCCCCACAACAACCACCTTGTGAGGTGCACTAAGCTGAGAGAGAATTAGCCCAAGGTCACCCAACTGGCTTTCATAGTTAAGGTAGGTCTTGAACTCTTGATCCCTTTCTAGCCTAGTGCCTTCATCATTAGACCACTCTTGATTTATTTGTGAATCTCTTTTAATTGTTAAGACATCAGCTACTTCCATTTGCATGGTCAGTGCAGCATCTTTTTCCATATAATTCTAGTACTCATAATTTTTAAATCACTTTCAGATCAAATTCATTCTTGCCTCATGAAACTTGTAAAACTCACAGCAACTTTTTAATACCCTCATTCTATAGAGGCAGGCATTTTTAAAATTAACTTCTGAGTCCATGGATCAAAAATATCCTTCAGTGTGTACAATGTTAATATTTAAATATTAAATATTGCCCCATTCTATATTAATAAGGCAAATTTAAGTGTTCTTTTCCTTTAATTGTAATCTTTGTTCTTTCTAGATTCCTTTAGTATCCAACCTTCAAAGTTTCATCCTATCCATTTTTAAAAAACAGAATTCAAAACAAAAGCATTTTCCGATGGGAAAGATTCTTATAACTAATTATGGAATCTTATTTCAAATCCATCTGGACCCTTAATTTAGAGGCAACATTCCAAAATCGAAGTCTAATTACTCTTTTGCTGTTTACTTCAACAGAAATTTTTTTAAAAAACTTCTGCTACATAATGAAGAAAACTCATCCAGTGCTATAAAGTGTGTTGATTCAAATATTCTTAATAACTGAAAAGCAACTAACAATTTCCAAAAGAACAGGAATTATTCAAACTTAGTGTCTTTGTGAAGGCAATGACTGCAGTTTGAGGAAAGAAATAGTTATTCCCTTGCCTCCCACAGCTCTAATGCTACCACAGATTACTGTGTTATGATGTCCTCATGAGGGGCAATTGTATGGAATACGTGAGTGATCTCAAGTCCTTTCCTTGCCTGCAGAGGAAATTCAAAGAGACAGTCTACTTCTCTTCATGCTGCAACTGTTGTCAAGTGAGTCTTCTCTGGAAGTCCTACAGCCCAGGCTTCCAAGAGCAACCTGCAGTCCACAAGCCCCTTTTTTGTGATTCCAGATAACCCTTAAGCCACACCTCCAAATTTCATCCATGAATTACAGATAATCAGCGACTCAGTTTTCCTGAATTTTGAAGCAAAACACTTGAGAACCTCAACATGCTAAAATTGCCTTAATTGTTCGAAAAGACAAAGGAAAACTTCAACCTCTGTGTGAATGACACAGAAGAAGTACATTAATTTCATATTAAGCACTCTAAACAAAGTCTGTAATTTTATTAATCATTGTAATGATAAAACATCTGAGGCTCCTTGACATTTCAATTTTTTTGTAACTGAATTTTAGAAGTCGGTAAGGAGAAAATTGACATTCATCTTGAGTAACTAAACATAAATAAGTTTAAAATATGAAGCTTATTAAATATTTGCCATGATTTGGCAATACCTACTTAAACTTTACCAGAATAAGAAAGGCCTTATTTCCTAAGCATGTAGTCTGATCATATTGGTAGGCAGGCAAACCTCCGAAGCTGATTTTAAATTATGTTAAATTGCAGACACTGTTATAGATGAAAGTACTGTTTGTGATGCCGGACCACTGTAGATGTTAAAACTGCTAGTGCATTTTCTGTACCCAATCAGTTCAAATCATTATCTCACAGATAACTATGTAAGATTTATTGAGTTAGAATCTCCATTGAAATAAATAAATTAATAAACAAACAAACAAACAAGCAAGCAAGCAAACAAACCAAACAACCAACCAACCCACCCACCCCCGGCTTAGCTTCTTTGGCTAGCAATAAATCTAAACTCCCAAACTGTATACTATGTAGTTCAGAGGGAATAATATACAAGAATAAATGCAAATAGTAAAGAACTTACAAAGCTGAAAAGACATAATTTTCTTCCTTTTTAAAGTTTCCTTTGAAAGGAAACTCACCAGAAACTGGTAGATTTGCAGTTTCAAAGATTTTTCAATCTTAAAAGGTCAATTTAAAAAAGTAAAGCTCTGAAGTAATTAAAAAGATGAGGTTTGCTTTAAAAGTTGAGGTTTGATCAAGTATATGAAAGGCTGCATTTATGGCTGAGAGCATGATGGAACCCATAATTCACAACTGAAGTAGTGGCTACAAAACATCAAATTCTGCAGTCTACTCATAAAAATCAGGTGTTCAAGCACCTTTGGGCAATATCTGTTCCAAAGACAATTTTGGCAGTTTGGATCTCACACCCAGCTGCCTTTTCGACCATAATATCCCCACAATCAGCAGAGCAGAGAAAAATGTGCCTTGCCTCATCAGCCTAAAAGCTCCTGTTGATTTCACCATATTGTTTAGCTAAATTATTTACTAGTAAACAAGGCATGGTAACTTCTGTTCCAACTCTTTCTCAAGATATTTGCAACTTGAAATTAAAAGGGCATTGCAACATAATTTTCTATACACAAGATTGCAGCCTAAATTTCCTCCTATTGCATTTTCAAGTTATGTTAACCTAACCAGTACATCTACATGGCTGTTTCTTACACCTGACCTATATTCTACTTTAAGGATATTGTTGGCATTGTTTCTGGTACAGTCTAGCACAGCTACCTCCCTTGACTCTGATTGGCAGTACGTGGCCTCTTTCATCTACCTATAATCCTTGAAAGTTCATCAGCACTGAGTAGCAGATCCACAGCAGTTGCCTTTTCAAGTTTTCAGTGAGTCTTTTTCTGAATCTCACCCAATTTACTTTTTTCAGCAATCTCCTCTGGACGTCCTCTGAAGCTAACAAGGCTTTGTCATCCAATATGATATACCATCCTTTCAAAGTTAGAAAAGCCAGCCCACATTACTTTTCATTAAAATAACAAATTTTCAAAACCACTGCTACCTAGATCCATATTAGAAGCTAATCTTTACATCTTCTACATCCAAGTTCTCCTAGTTCTCCCTTTTCTTTGAGGAAAAGGAAATCTAGCTCAACAGCTCCTTCCCCAGCAACATTTTTGTATGGAAAACTAAACTATCACTTCTGTTTATCTGCTTTTTTGAACAGTGTTTCTTGGGGTTTCTGCATGGATATGTGAAGTGTTGATAAGAAGCCTTGACTGAATCCAAGCTGTCACAAGGAGATTAAAAAACCTGAATTTACTGTATTATTTTTAAAATTTAATATTACATTACTAACAAGTTACACATTACACTAAGTGTGCCAAAGATGCCAAACTTATTCAACCACATCAGTGACAGGAACTTAATTAGTCAGATTTCTGCACATGGCAAAGCATTCCAAAAGGCCCCTTAAGCTTAGAATAGCTTCAAGGCTATTTTCATTTTTTGTAAAATGCAAGGCATTATTAGTACAAGTATTATTATTAGATTTTTCCTTTTCTTGAGGTTCTGGCAATTGAGCAACCTCACAATTTCTGGACATAGGCCCTGGAACTTGGAACCAAAATCAGGACACTAAGAGGATTGGTTTGTTAAGGCTCAGAACTTCAAAATAATTTTGTTTCAGAGTTTTTATTATATTTGGTGCAACAAATTAATAAAGTTTCAGAATTTCTAGCATCAGAATTTTATCAAGAACTGAATTAGGCAACAATATTGATAGAACGATACTGCTTCACTGAATAAATACTTTTAACAGAAAAAACCCACTAGACTACTGTTTCTAGAGAAGAAATTTTTAGGTGAATTGGTAAAATCTTGTCTCTTCAAATTTACCATTCAAAACAAAAAGTATCAAGGCAGTACAATAATAATTATTACATGTGATAGTAAAGCCCAAGTTCACAAACATCAGCTTTAAATGAAATAGAACATCGTATAAAATGCTGCAAAGCAACTTACTTAAAACCTTTGTGATGGCACTCTGGAGGAAGAGTGGTAGGTAGAAACAGTTCAAAATATGTGATAGCTTTTTGCATGGTGACATCAAAAGGACACATTAATGGTCGCCATTCATCTAACATCTCCGCTGTGGCACTTTCTGGGAAATAACTAACAAGAGGAAGGATTTTTGCAGCAACATATTTTACTTACTTAATAAGTAATCCCTATCAATAAATCTGAGATACAATTCATTAAGAAACAATAATAAGATATAACAATAAAAAAGTACACATTAAACATGTTTCTGAGACCAAAGATATTCACAGCATGGAAAAATCATTGCTGTTGCCAGCTCTGTCTCATACAATAGGGCATTTCATAATTGGACTTCTATATCCAAGAGAATCCTCTCCCAATAAAGGAGAATATTTGTAGCTCAGAGTTGAAATGAGGGGTTCTTGGTGCCCTCTGAGCCTTGTTGTTTTCTTGGAGATGTTTCACTGAAAATGTTGACTGCTGTGGTTTGGGTATAATGAATCATCTGTAAGAAAACAGCTAAGCTCAGAGAGAACCAAGGCCCCTCATTTCAATCCTAAACTACAAATATTCTGTTTTATAGGCCTGTCACAATTAAATGAGCCAAAAATATGTCCAACGTTCATGCTCCTTGTTTTCTGAGCAGCTTTTCTGAAATAAAATGTAAAGCATTGTATAGCGTGGGACTCTTAATTTCTTAATAGAAACTTTCTCATTATATTTTGCATAATCCTTTGAAATAATTTTGTGGTCCATCAATAGTATTTTAGGGCAACTGCCAGGATTCAGAATTTCTCCAGTTCAAATAAAACACTGAAATCACTGAATTATCTTCTATAAGGTGATCTAATGCAGGCATGATAATTATTTAAGATACATGCACTGTAATTTCTGCAATTTTGCAAATTTTAAAACACTTTAAAATAATGCAAGAGATATCATGAAATATAACCATGGAAATGTAAAAGTCGAATAGTCACTTTGTCTGGCCCCTTGTTGTCCCTCATATATAAAGCAGGGATAATTTTCAGTAATGGGAAATTTCCAAACTTTTTTTAGCTAAACCTTGTTAGCATTCTAAGCAACCTATTTATCTGACACATTTTCTACTCCATCACTTAAGGTACAACTTAACCAGAGGACTCATGTTACTAGCAATAAGGCCCTGTGAACGCATCATTTTTTTCAGTTTCATAAAGAAGACAGCTACATATGTGTAAGGTAGTCTCACTATCAAAGAGTTTAAAAAGTAGATAAAAATTGAAAATGGTTAAAGTACTTACAGCCGACAATTTTTCACAAGAGTCTTCAAAACACTTTCTACTGAGCTAAAAGAAGAGCAAAAAAGGAAAAAAGGTAAATAAATTACAGTATGCTACTTTATAAGAAGAATATAGCTATATAATTATGCAAAGCCTAAGATGTATTGATTTAATTTCCCATTATCTATGTACATGCAGCAGTTAATTTTACTTAAAGATACATACTTAGTTACAAGTATTACACTTGATTTTTGACTTTGTTTCTATTTCCCCTAAAGTACTGCTTGGGCTACACAAATCATGTTTTTCCTTGTATCCCAAATACTATACTGAGTGTGTTTCAGTTTTTAAAAACAAAAAGTCACATAATAGTAAATCAGGTTTTAAAATATAACTGAGTAAACTGCATCATACATGCATACTTACTTGCCAATTATTTTCACTGTTAACATATTTTGAGATGCTACATGTTTTTAGAAGCCTTATCTTATTATGTCCAAAGGAAGTATCCCTGGACAATCGTTGTGTATATTGACAAGAGCATTCAAGGGCACTCAAGCAATGGCTTATTTCAAAATGCTCTATTAATACGGATTATCTAGTCTTATTTCAAGCTGTTTTCTGGTGCACTTTTGGCACTGAAACCTCTTAACAGTTTGTCAAATTGTCTTCTGGAATGATTATCTACACTGAGATAAATGCTTTAAATGATTCTGATCTCATCTGATGCACATGTTTCAAAAAGTATTGAGGAACTAATCTGATTTTTTTTCATAAAATAATTTTGCTACAGTTCCACACTGCTCTATTTGTTTTCTGTGAATTCTAACACCGTCGCAATTAGAAAAATAAATCTAGAAATTTGGAGTATAGGATTATCAATATCCTTGTAACAATCAGATTTTTCCACCTGCCTAGTTCAGACACGACAGCTCAGTTATATAGCATGTTGTTGCAATTCACATAAAAGGAATATATTTAAGTAGAGTATGACTTTGCCAAGAATTAAAATGGCACATGCATTTCAGAGTGTCTCCTATCAGATCTTTTGAGGTGTCAGAAGCATATATCTTAAGATAAAAATGACTCTGCCATAGGAATTCATGCTTCTGGAAAATTATGGTTCTATTGTAACCATAAGTCTACCTCTGCAAAGGTGAAATTTTCATCTACTAGTAATTTTTAAATAAAGTGATATAATTCATAACACACATTTCCTAGATCTCATTACATTAGTGAGTATTAAATAAAAAATGTTAACTAAAAATATCTCTACAATCAGACTTTTGAAGATCTAAATAAGGATCGAAGTATTTTAACAATTCACTTTTCCTTTATTAAACTGCCTATTTCATAGAGTAACTAAGACAGGTTCCTATCTTCATAAATACAGTTAGCTGTGTTGATGGACCTTTAATAGTGTCATATCTCTGAAGTACCCTCCCCAGAAATGCAGACTGTATCACAATAACTGTAAATTAAAAATATTTATCCTTTGATATTCTCTCTCTCTGGCTGTGTATAGTTGTTACTGCATTCTTACTAAATTTAACAGTTATTTGGGAGCTTCTAATATTGAATTATTGAAAAAGTTCTCCAACTAGAAAGAATTGGCAGAAATATTTAAAAATAGGAAAAAAATAAAAATATTCTTTACTGATTTTTCATGAACTTGTTTCTTCATGGTTTTATGCAGGAATAGTGGTATATTTTAGAAGATTGGTTTTATTTTTAAAAATCATATACATGCCATTTCTTTTCTATTTGAACTATCTTAGTCTGAGTGATACTTATGACTTACTAGAATTAAGAAGCAGTACAAAAATAAGCAACATTCTCCTGGCACAATAATGATATTAATATTCAAATTTATACTGCACTGCACTCGAGAGAGTGAAACTTCTAGTAGTGTTAAATTCTGCCTCATATAAAAGTCATTTTCATTCAGACTAGCTCATCTAAAAAAGAAACATACTTTTGACTAAAATAGAAACTCAGTAACGGTTTTCTGCCTACAAAATAATATCCTACACTTAGAAGGATTCTAGGAGTTAAATTACCTAAAAGGCAAAAATGTAGGCCAAGAAGCTAAACAAAAGCTAACTGTAAAGCCCTTGCTATCCAACCTTTTTTTTTTAATCATAAATACTTGATAAATCAAAAGGCAGTTCTGTCTCTGAAGTCACAGAACATTGCTAAAACAAAGTATGACTGCAGACTCTGAAGATAGTCATAAATGCCCACCAGTTGCAAAAGATTCATATTTTGAACACATCACTATGGAGATGCTGTAACTGTTTTAAATGGGACAAATGGTCGTAAAATTATTTTTCAACCCAGTGTAATTTTGAATAGTTTCTAAACAGGGCAGATGTTAAGCAAGAACAACCTGTATATGATAAATAAGCCATGTTGCTTTTCTACGGGAATTGTTAAGTCCCACTATTTTTTCTCCAAGTTCACCATTGTACACTTCCAAAAACCTAGCCCATCAAGGGGTTGTGTTCAAGATCCATCTACTTAATCTTCCAAGGAAAGATAGTGGAAGGGAAAGGAGTGTGAGTGGCTGAAAATGCAATGCACCCTGTTATATAATCTGCTGCCAAACTTCCAGAAATGATTGGTTGAAGCATCCAATCCATTCCCAATACCGCCTGCTGAATTGAAGAAACCACCGATGTAGTAAAGCCTTGCCAATATTCTCCTGGATACCAAACAGCGGTCACTGAAGGGGCGTTGGTACTTACCTGATACGCCCTTTCTCTTTGAGCTGCTCAGAGCATCCAGGAAGTGGGAGGTGCTTCAGTCTCTGCATTGTTAGGCTGAGCTTGAATTGAGGAACGCTCCTCCTCCTTCCACGTGACTCCTCCGTAGCGTTTCCCCAGTTTTGCGAAGACGAGAGGAAAAAAATAGTGCTCTCATCCTAACTAACTAATGGTTCATTGGCCAAAACAAGACCCCACCAAATGGTGAAATTTGGGTGGGGCTGGATGCTCTTCGCAGCTCAAAGAGAAAGAGCGTATCAGGTAAGTACCAAAGCCCCTTCTCCTCAGAGCTGCTCAGAGCATCCAGGAAGTGGGACATACCAAAGCTGGGCCTGTCCTACAGGAGGGGCTCTGTCTGGTCTGGAACCACCTCGGGGTCTCTAAAAACCTTCTGTAGAACCCAACAGCCTATGGTGGACAGTGATACCTTGTGCCCTTGTGTCTTGGGTTGAAAGGAGAGAAACAAGGCCTCTGATTTTCGGAAAGATTCTGTGCATTTGATGTAAATTCGCAGAGCGCGTCTCACATCCAGTGTATGCCACTGTCTTTCCCTTTCTTGTGATGGTTTGGGACAGAAATTTGGAAGGATAAGTTCCTGCGCTCTGTGGAAAGTCAAATTGATTTTGGGCAAAAAGGTAGGGTCAGGCCAGAGAACCACTCGATCAGTGTGAAATACACAGAGGTCTCTTCTAATAGATAGGGCTGCAATTTCCGAAATTCTACGGGCTGATGTGATGGCTACAAGAAAGACTACCTTGTATGTTAGAAACTGTAGGGATGATTCCCTTAAAGGCTTGAACGGGGGTTTTGTGAGTGAGATAAGGACTCTGTTAAGGAACCAGGTTGGGTACCGGTGTAGGTGGGGGGGGGGTGTAAATTGGTGGCTCCTCTAAGAAACGCCCAAATACGGGGGTGATGGGAAAGGAAGTCAACTCCCTCACAGGAGATAACCGTTGATAAGGCCGCTACCTGTCGTTTTAATGTGTTAGGGGACAGCCCCTTACTGAGTCCCTCCTGTAGGAAGTCTAAAACCTGAGCAACGGAGAGGGAAGAAGGGTTAATTTGGAGCCTGTCACACCATTTGCAAAAGATGGACCAAGTGGCATTGTAGATTCGTATAGCTGAGGGCCCTCTGGCTGTTAGTATAGTGTCAATGACCCTGCTAGATAGGTTTTCCCTCTTCAGACGGTCCCGCTCAACCTCCAATTGAGGGTCCAGGTGGAGAAGGGGTCCTTGAGACAGCGAGATCCTGTCTGATGGGATCTTCCAGGCCGGGGCCACTGAAAGACTGCGGAGGTCCGCAAACCAAGGATGTCTGGGCCAGTAAGGTGCTATGAGAAGTAGTTCTGCTTTCTCGTGAAGCAACTTCTGGATGACCCTGGGCACTAGCGCTAGGGGAGGGAATGCGTAGAGTAGCCCCGGGGGCCAGGGGCAGCGTAGAGCATTGTGATTTTCTGCCCCTTGGGATGGGAACCTTGATACGAACCTTGGGAGCTGGTCATTGAGAGGGGAGGCAAACAGGTCCACTATCAGTTGCCCGAAAATGGATGCCGCCTCCTTGAACAGGGATGGATGAAGGCGCCACTCTGACTGGTCTATGGTAGCCCTGCTCAACCAGTCTGCCTGGATGTTTGATAACCCTGAGATGTGATCTACCTTGATGGAGAGGAGGTTGGACTCTGCCCAGCGGCAGAGGCGCTCGGCCTCCCTCATCAATCGTAATGATTGTGTGCCTCTCTGCTTGCTGATGTGGGCTTTGGCCGTCACGTTGTCTGTGAGGAGGAGGATGTGGTGGCTATGTACCTGAGGGAAGGAACTGCAAAGGGCCAGGTGCATGGAGTGAAGTTCGAGCCAGTTTATGTTGCATGATCGCTCTGTCACTGACCATCTGCCCTGTGATATGAGGGACTGCATATGAGCACCCCATCCGAACAGACTGGCGTCTGTGGTGACAGTAAGTCTTTGGGGCTCTCTGAGGAGGCAGCCCTTGTTGATGGACGATTTGCTCCACCAAATGAGGGACGTGAGGACCTTTGGTGGTACCCTGACCTTGAGCTTTGAGTTGCTGGTGCCGGATCTCTGGTATGGAAGCAGGAACTACTGGAGGGATCTGGTATGCAGGCGGGCCCAGGGAATAATGGAAATACATGAAATCATTTTTCCCAATAACTGTGATAATTCCAGAAGGGAAACCCTCCTGAGACACCTGATGGTTCTAATGGATTTTTGGATACTCAGTAGTCTATCCGAAGAAAGGAACACCTTTCCTTTCAGAGTGTCAATCACCGCCCCCAGATGGGTTATTCTGTTGGAAGGGGACAATTGACTCTTTTTCCAATTGATAAGAAACCCATGCTCCTGGAGAGCAGATAGGATAACCTGGATGTCCCTAACTGCTTGATCTTTAGAGCAGGATAGAATGAGGATGTCATCCAGGTAACACTGAAGGCGCACAGGGAGGGTTCTGAGGTGGGCCACCAGAGCAGCTAGAACCTTGGTAAAGGTCCTAGGGGCGGAGGCTAAACCAAATGGAAGTGGCATGTATTGAAAATGGTGATTATTATAGCAAAAGTGAAGGAATTTATGATGGGAGGGCCGGATGGCTATGTGTAAATATGCCTCTGTCAGGTCTATGGATGACAACCAGTCCCCCTGTTGAATTCCCAATAGGATAGATTGTAAGGTATGCATCTTGAACCTACGGTGTACTAGATAGCAGTTAAGCCACTTTAAGTCCAGTATCGCTCTCCATCCCCCTGAGTGCTTTGGAACTACGAACAAATGGGAGTAGAAACCCAGCCCTCGTTGTGCCTGAGGGACCGGTTGGATGGCCTCTATGTCAATTAGGTGTTGGATAGCTGAATCCATGTGATTACGTTTAGTGCGGTCCTTGGAGAGAGGACATGACATAAAAAAATCGGGGGGGGGGGCTGGAATTTGAGGGCGAGGCCGAATCTGATGGTGTCCCTGACCCAGGCGTCAGAAGTAGAGGAGTCCCACTGGTTAGCGAAGGCTTTAAGACGCCCGCCAATGGGAATGGAATTGGATGGCCTATCTGGAACGCCAGAAGGGCCAGCTACTTGATCCCCAAAAGGGCCTCTTGTAGCTACTGTTCCTTCTGCTTCTGTCAGATGAGTCTGCTCTATCTGGGGGTTGACCCTGGCCAAAGGGAGGGGTTTTTTGAAACTTGGGGGGAAAGGAGGCCTGTTAAAAGGGCCAAAAGGGAGCTCTGCGAAAAGGCTGCGATGGTCTAGAATCTGGCCTCCGGGTGAGGGAGGGAAGATATTTTTTCTTGTTGCGACCCTCCACTAATAGGGGGTCCAAAGCCGGTCCAAACAGTTTGTTTCCCACGAGGGCAGCGGAAGCCAATTTCACCTTATTCTTAAGATCTGCCTGCCAATGTTTCAGCCAGAGCAGTCGGCAGGTTGTGATGTGAGAAGTAATCTCTCTGGTGGAAAATTTAACAGTGTGATAGGTGGCATCGGCCGAGAACTCAGCTGCGGCTGTGATCTTGGCGATGTCCTGATGCACTCTAACATTGGAGGCCGGGATGTGCTGTTTGAGCTGGCGGAGCCAGCGAATGGATGAACGGGTGAAGAAAGAAGCGGCTGTGGCCGATCTAATTGCCCAGGCATCAGACTGGTGTGCTCGGCGCAAGGCCAGCTCGGTCTGCTTTTCCTCCGGCCTCAGGGCCTCTAGGGCGTCACTGAGGGTGAAGGAAGAGGCTAGACCCACGATGGGCTCATCAACCTCTGGGGTACCCAATAAATTGGAGAACTCTGGGTCCAGATTGAAGAATTTTTTATCATGGGCCGACGGGGCGGGGGGGCTGCTGCAGAGGCCAATTGTTTAACCACCAGGTCAGAAAAAATGGGGGGAGTTGGGATGACTTCCACCTCTACTATGGGTTGTTGAAAGATGGAGTCCTCTGGACCCTCCGGAGCAAGAGGAGTGGGATCAGAGGATGACTGAGTGTTTAGGCCACAAATATTCTTAGCCTTGAAAGGGGGGACTTAAATAATTGTGGTTTGAATAGTCCCACAAAGGCGGGTTGGTCAGGAGTGAGACCTTCATCCTCGGACATCTCCCCTTCTAGTGGGTCCACCTCAGAAAAAGGTTTGCTGTTTTGCAGGGACCCCAAGTCAAACTCCTCTTCCTCCCTGATTAGGTCTAGGTCCCCTTCCTCCTCCTCTTCCTCCCTTACTGCAGGTGGAACCTCCCCTTGCAGGGGTACCTGTCCATGGAGCAGTTCCGATCTGGGGATGGATCTTACAGATTGGGACTCCGGTTCCAAAGCTGCCATGTAGTACCCAGGCCTGGCTATTTGTTAGAGACTGGCTGCAATACCTTGGTGGATAGCCAACTCCATCCAGGATCGTAATTTCTCTGGGACTTCCTCTATGAGCCATTCCTCTTGGCGTAGGCCAGCAGCAGTAGGCGTGAAGAAGCCCTTCAGAAGCCCTTCTAGCCGGAATTCCAGAGATCTGTGCTTGATGACCCTGAGAGGGCGAGCTGCGCCTTGATAGTGAGGAGAAATCTGGAGGAGGGGGGTGGGGAGCAGATGTAGAGGGAGTGGAGGGTGGGAGGACTGTAGCAGGAGTCTCTTTGGAGGGTTTGTTAATCTCCTTTTCCAGGGCCCTATGGCGCCTGAGGGCATCCCTCTGGGAGGCTTTGGAGGTCTCCTTAGCCTGTCTGCGCAAGTGATGGGTCTTAGATTTGGCCTTCAGAGAAGGACCTCTAGAAGTATTGCCCTCTGCCATTTCTGTGAGAATATGAATATTACAGGATGTGGTATGAGTCGGATTGAAGGCGGTTGGCGTGCCCAGGGGCCAATCTGCAGCAAGACTGGGAGCCCTGATATATTTCACCCCCGTTAGAATTTTATTATTATTATTATTATTATTATTATTATTATTATTATTATTATTATTATTATTATTATTATTATTATATTATATTATATTATATTATATTATATTATATTATATTATTATATTATATATTATTATCTTGCAGCGAACAGTAAGCTGTGGTGAGGCCAACTATTAATTCAGAAGTAAACAGTACCAGGGCAGAGGTAATATCGCTCTGAAACAGGCCTACGGGTCCTGAAACTTGGAGCAGAGATCACACACAGCAGGCAAATAGCACACACAAAATGGCAGCGGCCACGAGGAACTTTCAAAATGGCAGCCGCAACTATTACGAGGGCTCCGCAGCTAGTTCGGAGCAGATTTCTCCTCCAGAAGAGAGAGAGAGGCAGGGAAGGGGGGGATTTGCCCTTTCCCTGCAAAAAAACCCGGCGTTCTCAGGGGGCAATAGTTTAAAATGAATCAATCTGAGCTAAAATGCAGGCAGGGTAAGGTTTTGGGAAGGGAGGTAGTGCGAAGGCACTACTGGGGCTCCCCCTTGCCACCCATGGGGGCGGAAAAACAGCGCTTCCCTAGGGTGAATAACCAATAAACAGATCACTCGCGCAGGGCTAAATGAGAGAAAGAAACAATCGAACCTGAAATCAGAAGAAATTGCAATTGAAGACAACAAATCCTGAATCGGCCAAGGAACTAGTCTATGCACTGCCTGTTTCGCACGAGGCTGAGCAAAAACTGGGGAACGCTACGGAGGAGTCACATGGAAGGAGGAGCAGCATTCCTCAATTCAAGCTCAGCCTAACAATGCAGAGACTGAAGCACCTCCCACTTCCTGGATGCTCTGAGCAGCTCTGAGGAGAATCTTAGACTCAGATGGTGTCATTGTGTCATACAAATTTCAGTAGTAAGAAGGTATGGCTGAGTTAGTTAGTGGCTGACAAGGTTAAGCAAGCTGAGTGAATGCAGTGAGTGAGAATTTGTCTAAACTGTTTGTTGTTAATTTTTTTACATAGCAAAGAATCTGTTATACTGCATAATGGCAATTAATTACATTTAAGACTGGAATCCTAAAAATACTTAAGTTAGTGTGTATTGTTATCACAAACTGAACTGCAGGTATAAGCTAACGTTGTTTTAAATTCATATAACTCTTATTCTACATTTTTAGTCATTCTATCAACCTATGTATTGAATTTAATTCATGCACTTCCAGAACATTCTACAAATTATGCCTAAAATCAAGTATGATTTATATTAGGCATCTTAACTATAACTTATTTGTTAACAGGCAATTAGCAATTAGTTATAATTTTCAGCCCCTTCACACACAATATTTTTAATTGTAACTCAATTTAAATACAGTGCGACATTCCCATAAATTGTGGTGTCATGTTAACATTGGATTTTTCAGTTTTATATGCAGGAAGTTACAGGTACATGACAAATGTTACAACGGAACAGGCCATGCACAAAGAAAACACATAGGCCAGAGCTACATAAAAGCAAAATAATTGTCCTTACCACCTATGTAAAACATTAAGCACAAATGTTTTAGGTGAAGACAAGCCTGGTCGACATGAACTGAACATAAAGAAAAAAAGATTTTAAAACAAAATAATGAAAAAAGCAATTGTAGCATTTAAACCAAGTAATGTTAAAGCCACAAAAATCATTATTCATAATCCTTTTATTTTTAATTCATTCTTCCAAATTCATCTAAAGTGAAATATAAATTGTAAGCAATGTTGTCAGAACACCATGAAAGAAAAAGTCGCACTGCACCATTTAATTTCAAAACCAGCCAGCCCAAAAAATGGAAAGGTTGCTTTGGCATTTATTGCTTTCCCTTTAGTCCCTTTTCAGTTTTCATCTGGGAATCTGTTGCTCAAAAGCAGACTAAGCATTAAAAATATTATTTAGTATTTCTTAATTCAGTTTGCTTGATTGAGGACAAAATTATTAATCTAGAAATAACTTGGAAGTAAGTATATGTCTTGCCAAATAAGTTAAAAATTCAATGATTAGTGTCACTGTTTAAAAGACTGTAAGCAGCAGGAAGGCTAGAAATGGGTTTGTTTCAAACACTGCCCCTTAGCATCAAATAGCTAGATATTCTAAGACTAAAATTACAATACTGTATAGGATAAATTCAAAGTTAAGAAAGGAACTTTCCTCATAGAGGTAGATAGAAGAAATGTTACATGTTAAATCAGATAAAACCAACTCAATAATATCTGCTTTGATGGCATCAGCTATGTAGGGCTTAAAGGATTTTTCTAGCCTTACAAGCCATAATGCTGTTGTCTAAAAATGCAATAGATTAAAACCTGATCATCACACATGCAAAGCACATCTAAAATATGCCTTGTCTCCACCAAAGCATTAGTTTCCAAAAGCAGATAGACTATAGTTTTGTGCAGGCATTCGGTCTACTCATACAAGAGCTAAAAGCCAGGAAGGAATATGGCCAGATGCATTCCCAACTCTCAAAGTTCTCATTCTTCAAATCTATAACCTATCTACACTGAATAAAAAGCACAAAGGAAGTTTTTATTTGCTGGGATAGTATTTACATACCCATATTTCCTAGTACATTAAACTCTCCAGTAAACCTACAAAGTGTTTGCATAAGGCTTATGTACTTTTCTATTTTGGAATATGAATGGTCAGTTTTCATTTCATATCTTATAAAGTCTGAAAAATATTTTTCTCCAAAATAGGGCTATCATATCTGGATTATAAAAATCCACAAAGATCTTTTAAGTTTTTGCTGACATTAATGACTCCTTGGATTTTTTTAAACTCAGATACGGGAGGACTAAACTTTTTTTTTAATAGCTAAAGTATTCCTTTAATAAAATATAACCATGTTGCTTATTTGTGAACCACAAATTAAAAATGGGAAAAAAAGAAAAGAAAAATGAACATCTGCCGCAAAGGAAATATGAAATTATTTAAAATTTATTTTAGATTCAGATCAGTGAAAGAAAATATATAAAATACAAGCAACAAAATTCAACCAAAATGTAACTAAGAACAGTGTGAGGATATTGTGAAAATAAAACAAAGCCTTTAAAAACTTACTTTGGAAACCAATTTAATCCAAGATGTTCTGTCTTAGAATACAATATACGTTCCAGCATTTCGTAAAGTGGTCTCCAGGGCAATTCTAAATCATCTCTTGACAAAAGTTCTTTTTTTCTAAGTTAAAAAACACGCATACAGACAGGAATTGAATTTGAATCATTACTCACTGACAATTAAGCTGACAACCTAAAATATTCTAAGAAAACTTCTTTGAGTGACTGTATAAAATTGAAGATTCAGATCTAACTCTTATAATAGTATAAAAAAGGTTATTTTAATCAACTGTTAATCAACTATCAAATAAATAGATTATATCTAGATTTATGTATGACTAATGGGGAAAAAAGGATAAATGTAATGCTAGAAAACTACAACATTATCCAACTATTCATTTACCGTATTTCTGGTTGAGATATCAATATTATATCAAAACTGGTACTCAACATTGATCCTATTCTATCCTTAAACTAGCATACACCAGTATAATTTGTAGCAATAGAAATTACAATGTCGATATATACATCTAAGGATGATAAATGCAAAAATTAGAGATATATAGTGGTTGGTTTTTAATGCATTTTGAAAATGCAAGGCTGTACTATATGATCAAGTCTCTAATCTTTCCCCAACTTAGGAAAAAAGTAAGAGCATTTGCTACTTTAGTCTGGCTAGGTTTTTGCTACTTCTGATTACCTATATAAGGCTAGCATGAAGCAAAATACCAATCAAACCTGACAAAAATCTGTTGAATCTCTTAGTTTTAACACTAACTATCCTTATCTCCAGCTATGGATCATTATTGATATAGATAGAAGAACGGAGTAAAACCAAACTTACTTCAGCAAGTTTATTAAAAGTCGAGCAAAACCTTGCATCATGCTGATCTCCAATTTTGGAATAGTTACTAGTTCATACAACAGCTTAATGAAAAGAACATGATCTTCTTTACTAAACTTTCTCCCATACAGCCGGAGATACCTGTAAAAAAGAAAATTTAAAATACTCTAGATAAGATATTTCATTTTATCAACATCCTCATATTAGTGTATACAATGCAAAAAGAGTAAATATAATCATAATGAATGGAAAAGTACAAAAAAACAAATATTAGCTATAATAAAATTATTCATAGTGAATTCACATCAAGACAACTTACAAATGTTATCTAAATGCAGACCTGTTAAAATATTCCTTTTGGGGTTATACAATATGCAAATGACAGAAAAAGAATAATAGCAAGCCACAAGAATTAAAGAGGAAGAAAGAAGAAAGTATATCTATATCTAATTCATATAGTTGTTCATTATATCCATTATGTTATTCTACTATTCACACAAATCATCCTTACTTCTCCATACTCATACACCACCTCATATGTTACCTTTTCTTTAAACCCTTGAGAATTTCAATTTCGTCTACCATGATTCGTATATTTGCATCTGTCAACAGACACCCTAAAGTAACCATAAGTATTATGTTTGTATTTATTCATAAATATATTAAATAATTAAAGGGAAATTGCATATCCTTCTTTCACTCCTTGCTCAATGTTGAACCATTCACTAAGCATTCCATTAACTCTCAAGCAAGGTTTATTTCAACTGTGCACTATTCCTGTCATGTTCAGCTTCCAGCCACCGATCTGCATATTCAAGCAAATCATTCCACAATTCACAATTTCTATTTTATCATCGGCTTTAAGTCAACAAACATAATAAACTTTCTCACATTCATACACATATCAAAGGTCTGTAGAAACTATTTGAATTATATACCCCTGCCTTGTATTTTGTAGATATCAAGATAGTAACCAGATGGGCAGTGTGTTGAATGACCTGGTGTAGATGGTTTGAGTTTTGTTGATTTTTTTATCCCCCCTCATCCACTCTAGTGTTGTGGGAATACTCCATTAAAGAATTATGCGGGGGGGGGGGGCAGCATGGTACTTAACAGCTCCCTTGCCCACTGCAAAGCCCCAAGTACAGCCAAAGTCTTGATGGTTGCTGGAGTTCATGAAGCAAGGGAGAGAGAGAAGGAGGGAGAGGGCAGGGCGGGAGAGCGGGAAGGCAGCAGGGAGGGAGGGAGGGAGAGAGAGAGAGAGAGAGAAAGACAGAGAAAGAGAAAGAGACACAGAAAAAGAGAAAGAGACAGAGAGACAGACAGACTGACTACTTGTCTTTTTCTCTCGCTTCCCTCCCTTGCTTTATGAAGGTCTGGCATCTGCAAAGGGTGCAGATATTGTGGAGGCAGCAAAGAGTCACTAACGTAATTTCAATGCTATGGATTGATCTCTCTCTGGTTGCCTTTCAACTCACTGGTGTTACTTCTTTCTGCAGGAAGACAATCATTTCAAATGAAGTACCACAAGTGTTGCCTGGAGTGCTGTGAAAGAAAGACTCACATGACTCTGACTCCGACATGGTTATGAGCCTGTATTGGGGATTATCTTATAGCAATAACACAAGAAAATATCAATATTTCTTTGCCCATATTTTATCCATTGTCCAGTGGTTTTGTTTACTGTTCCCTACAGGGTTGGGAACTCAATTTATTGATGATCCAAGGAGACTATTCAGGGTATCTGTTGGATAAAACTGTTTAGGCTTGCTTCAACTCAGACTCTGAGCAGTATGATGTAGCTGGGGCATGGTCTATTGATATTATCTGGGATGAATCTGAGCTAGTGACTCCTGAGGAAGTAGAGAGGGTTGTCTATAGTTTTTGTTAGCTTTCTGATGTAGTCCAGGTCAGGAAACAAAAACCAAGAATACTAAAATTTATTGTAAGGCGACAAAAACAGAATCTTGCAAATCTGAAAGCATTCCCCACCACCACCACCACCAAACAACCACCACCTTTATGTCCCAGATAACTAGTGAGAGTCAATTCTGAGATACATTCTCCATCCCCAATCCTGCTCTGGATTCAGATTTCTCTTCTAGGAAAGTTGTTTAGGTTGCATTTCTCAAGGTGATTCTCATAGCCCATTGCAGTTTTTGATAACTATAAAATGATTCATACCCTTCTTTTTGAGCGAAGTTTGTTGAGAAGATAGTTGGTCTGCATCTCATGAGAACCCTTGAGAAACAGATTATCTAGACTTGCTTTTGTCAGTTTTCAAACTGGGATTTAATAATGAGATAACTTTGGTCATACTTATAGATGGCTTGTGGCAGAGTCAGGATGGAGGTAGTACATTCATTCCTTTGGTCCTTGATTTCACAATGGCTTTCAATACCAATGACCATGATAGCTCCATGTGTTGGGAATTGGGGACACTGTTTCATGGTGATTCTCTTCCTTTCTATAGGGCTGGTTCCAGTTAGTGTTAGTTGAAAGGGAGAGAGTTGCATCGTTGCCCCTTTGTGGGGTACTGCAGGGTTCTATTCTCTCTCCTCCTTTTCACATCTTCATGAAATTGCTGGGTGAAGTCATCCACCTTTTAGGGTTTGATATCATCACTACATTGATAGCCAATCATATCTTTTGATGATAGTATGGTCAAGTGAGGCTGCCCATGTCCAATCCCAGTGCCTGCATATAATACCTCTGCTTTATGAAAAATTAAACAATGCAATTTATCAGCAAAATCAGTAATACCTGTTAGGGTGTATATATAAACTCTTACTTAAATATAATACAGAAAAAAGAAAATTGAATGATTAAAATGGATGCAAAATTTGAAAGAAAGTTACAATAAAACATTAGGAAAAAATACAGACATAATTTATAAAATTCATATTACAACTTAAAGGAAACTTGGACTAAAATATTTTACAGATAGTACACGACTCCATCAACAATACCTAAGATGGACAAATCATACAGTAATAAATGTTGGAAATGCTATGAGACAAGAGGCAGATAATGTTGGAATTTAAACTTGATATGAAGCTACAATTGTCCTTATTACATATAATCTTAGGGAAAAATAATATAATAATTTAATGTGATATAGCGAGAATAAACTTTGCTCAAAGGCACAATTTGGAAAAAGGCACAATCCCAACAATATCTGATTGGGAACTTAGAATATACAGCAAAAACAAAACTAATGGTACATATAGTGCAAACAATAGAAGTTCATTGTGTTGGTAAATTGTTTCTTTTCTAATACTTTCTCACATAGGATTTCCTTGTCCTGTAATATAAGTAGTCCTCAACTTATGACTGTTCGCTTAACAACATTCCAAATTAATGATGGCTTCCAAAAAAGTCAATGTTCTTCCCCTGCAGATGTCAGGATGCAGAGGCCTTTTTGCTCTACTCCAACAGGGTCCATGCACAGGTTTCTCATGTGCACGCTAATTCTTCTCCAGGTTGTTGTGCCACATCTGTGCATGGGGAACATGGCTCAGAGAGTGGTGGTGGCTCTGGGAAAGGCATGGCAGAGCAGGAGGGAGGAAAACAGCAACCACACTCCCTCTTCCTTTTCCTCCCCTATCTTTTACTCTTTGCCTCCAGCTGGTCGCTCTCTCGCCCTCTTCCTCTGCTTTTTTCTGCTGTTCTCACTCATTCTCACAGTAACGTGCCTCTACCTTTCATACAACTTCACACATATGAACATTCTCCTTTTCCTCATTTCTGCCTTTCCACACACACCCACATGCATATGCAGGCTCATACCGCCCTCCTGAGCAGAGATGAGACTTCTTTAGCTCCTTCTTTTCCTTTCATCTCCCTTCCAGTCCTGCCTAGGTAACTGTTATGTATATGTAAATAACGTAGTTGGGTTGACAATATCTAAACTACAAATATATGTTTGTAGATTTAAGGAAAAATACTGTAATGTATTGTGCTGTATTCTGATTGGTTAATTATGCTTCAAGTTGCCATAAGAGAGAGCTATAGATCATGGTTTAATTCTCTTTCTTTTTCTCTTTTTCACTGATGAACTCTCTTTATACTGATACCAACTGACTACGGACCGATACTGACTAACCCTGTTTATTTTGATATTCTGTTGATATCGAAGGTTATCTATTGTATTGTGGTTTGATATTTGTCTGCTATAAAAGATGTGAAACTGATAAGAAGACTTTATAACTGGATATTTCTGGACTGTTAAAAACGTGTATGACATGGACTGTTTATTGGACTGTGTTATTTCTTCAAGTAAACATTAATACAACTAGTTCAACTCTGTGTGGCTGTATATTTATTCATAACTGTTCTCATAAATCATTTCCGTGTGCATATCCTTTTTATACAAGGGTTACTTTGCACATATCCTAACAATAACTATCATGCTGATTTGCCTCTCTGTATTCCTCTTTTTACACTCTTTCTCTTCTCCCCCCACTTTTCTCTTCCCTCCCCATTGCACACCTACTTATCTTGCATTCACTTTCACATCCTCAATGCCCCTGAAACCCAAAGAGCAGTGGCGGCAGAAACAGCACCAGCAGCAAACAACAAGTCCTCCTTTTCACTCCCTTTGCTGCTTCTCTTTTGGACCCAGCTACTCCAGTGAATATTTCCTATACATATAAGTATTTTCTTCAGCCATAGGTATAGGAAATTATAACTGGAGAAACTGAGTGTCAGGGTTCCAAGCAGGGAGGATTTTATTTAAATTAAGTTGATTTAAATCACGATTAAATCATGATTTAAATCACTAGTAAAAAGGCTTGATTTAAATCAGGGGTCTCCAACCTTGGCAACTTTAAGCTGGCTGGGGAATTCTGGGAGTTGAAGTCCTCCAGGCTTAAAGTTGCCAAGGTTGGAGACCTCTGATTTAAATTAACTTGATTTAAATCATAAATTTTAAAGAGCAACTGTCATCTGTGGCCCCCAGCAGCTCCTCCTCTGACCTTCTGTTGACATGCTATATAACTAAACTCCATTTCATGCTGAATAGACTAAATTATTAATGTATCTTAAATAAAAAGTCTTTAGATAGATTTTTACTCCAAAAGCATTTTATTAAAATAAATTTGATAAAAATCAAAAAAATCCTATTTAAATTTTAAAAATCC